TTGAGTGATTACATTGAATCAATTGGTAGGTCTGCTGCTAGGAAAGTTGGTTCACTGTATCGTGTTAGACAATTCAACTCACCAAAATCTTTCTTGCACGTTTATAAATTTAACATCTGTCTCTGGATTTAATATTGCTGCCATATCTCGTCTAGTGATCCGGCTTACATATCCCGATATCTTTGACAAACTTGTATTATTCACATTATTCGGTCGTGTTATCCTCATCTTCATTGGCATATTCATGGCCTTCTTCAAGTGATTTCGAACCGAACCCTTTATTTCGTCCACCGGAGTAGATTGTTCTAGTTCCACGTGACATGCCTCTGCCAGTTGTCTCAGTTATTTCCCTTTAACTCAACTTGTCAAGTTTTGTTTCACCACTGCTGTGAACTGGTATTGAACTGAAAACTCTTTGGATCTAGTCACTGGATCTAACCAACGTCTTTATCTCAAGGACACGTTGCCAAGTGGATAAAGACTGGTTAAATTCAATGACTAGACCCCAAAGAGTTGTGAGTTCGATACCAGTCTACTGCAGTGGTGAACCAAAACTTGGAGAGTTGAGTTAAAGGGAAATAACTGAGACACCCGGAAGAGGCATGGCTTTATTACCTTGCTTGGGGTGAAACAATTCAAACTAAAGGTCAATAATACTCCCTGGAAGATGGTGAAGTCATCACCTATGCTGATAACAATGACGTCGACTTTTGACACGTAAAACGGACCAAAATTTTCTTAATTCCTTCCTAGAATAATTTTTAAAAAAATGCACTATTTACATTATTCGGACTGCTGTCGTCATCTTTGTTGCCATATTTATTACAACGTTTCGGTCGCTGTACGCTCCGGCTTTCTTCAGGTGGTTGGTATGTCGAACTGAACCCTTTATTTCTCTCACTGGGGTAAACTGTTATAGTTCCACGTGCCATGTTTAATGAATGAGGACAATAGTCCGAATAATGTAAATAGTTTACATAATACCACATCTCAGAAATATAGATAAAAAAAATGCAGTGTTTGTTTCGTGATTTGTGTTGTTTCTTACGCTTTTATTTGTTTAAATTACCTTTGGTCATGTCATACCGAATGTGATGAAGCTTGCAACCGGAAGAAATTAATATTATGTTCTCGTCTATAATACTTACCTCTAACTTTTAGATTAATAGCATCTGTAAAAATTCGTATTATACATGAATAATTTGTAATGTGTTTTTATCGTATCATATCCTGGATTTTAGGCAAATAATATTTCATCTGTATATTCAGAGATATTTTTAGTACAACAATTTTTGTTCATTTTTTTACACATATGATAATGTCTGATTTATAAATTAGTTACACGAGATTAATAACCCTAGCTAGTAATATAATATGATCATTATAACAATACTAGTGTACCCTTGACGTCAAAATTGACGGCAAGAACGAATGTATTGTAAGCAAAATGTATTATATTCAAAGTAATTTTCTTTTAATCTTAGTACAATTTTTTAATTTAAAATAATTCGTTGTTAAAGTTAATAACTGAAGTGTGTACAATTTACAAACATCCAAGGAAATATATATATATATATATATATATATATATATATATATATATATATATATATATATATATATATATATATGTGTACAATTTACAAACATCCAAGGAAATATATATATATATATATATATATATATATATATATATATCCATATATATCCTCATAAAGGCTACATATTTACAACCCAAATTATGTTTACTGCAAAAGTTTCCAAATCACAATATGTTTTGTGTAAACTTTGGAAATCCTGAGTAATACACGACAGTCCGTGGATTGAAGGTTTAATTTCAAAGTCTGCTTATTTCTCGTTCTACTAAGAGCAGATTTTTTAAAATTAATTTACGTTTTGTCCCCACTTTTTTTAATTATAATTTTCAAAATGTAAAATGAATTTATAAAATTAACATATATGCGGCGTATTATATATAAGAAACTTCTTCGATAGTACGCGTCACGGAGACCAAGTTAGCATCGTTATTTTGTACACTGCACCTCAATTTTTACACACAAAACAAACGTAAATATCTATATATGTGGCCTATTTTATTTATATATATATATATATATATATATATATATATATATATTTTATATATATAATACGCTATATACATATATATATATATATATATATATTTTATTAAAGACATTTTTATTTATGTTTAACGTTGTTATTTTTATAGATACAAGTATTTAAGCAAATGCAGGTTCGAATCCTGTCTATGAACGAATATTTTCTATGAAAATTTCTCGGACATTCAGGCCGGTAAATGTTATTTAATACTGTTTATCATAAACAGAGCATTTGCTTAAATACTTGTATCTATAAAAATAACAACGTTAAACATAAATAAAAATGTCTTTAATAAATAAATTGTCGGACCTCGTCCATTTCTTAACATATATATATATATATATATATATATATATATATATATATATATATATAGATAGATAGATAGATAGATAGATAGATAGATACTGTAATAAAATTTATCTGCCAAATAAAAGATTCATTCTTAACGTAGATCATATCAACAAGTTTTTTCAATATTTATTGAGCCGGGAATTTTTATGTTTTCGCTTAAAGTGAACCCTTTACTGCTCTTCTTTTGCATATTCAAATTGCTAATATCACTAGTCTTGCATTTTGGGGTCAGTATTAAGTAAATCGTATCAATTGTTTATTTTTCCGGTCAATGCAAATTCAGGCAATTCATGTACTCGAATGGGGAATATGATAGATTTAATTGAAACTTATGCAACTGTATGAAGATTAGCTAGGATACTGGCATTTTGTATTTGTGTAAATAAATAAAACTTTATTTTTTATGTACATACGTTCTTTTTATTGATACAGATATTTAAGTAAAATGAAAATTTCTCGGGCATTCAGGCCGGTAAATGTCATTAATACTGTTTGTTATAAACAGAGCATTTGCTTAAATATTTGTATCAATAAAAAGAACGTATAAACATATGTCTTAACAAAAATTGTCGGACTTTCATAAAGTGAGAAGTCATTTGTTTACATTTGGATACGCATTGAGCAGATATGAATGTACAAGAGAAAATCATGGAGAATTGTAGTTTAAAAACAGTAAAATCGACATTGCTAACCGAAACGCTCCTCTGTGGCTATATCGGTAAAGCACGTCTGGCTATATTACGGTTCCTTGTAGGATACTGATTTGATTACTGTCGGAGGACACATATTTTCTGTGGAAATTTCTCGGACAATCAGGCCGGTAAATGTCGTTAATACTGTTTATTATAAACAGAGCAGTTACTTAAGTATTTGTATCTATAAAAAGAACGTATAAACAAAAAATGTCTTAAAAACTTTATTTGCATACATATACTTTCATGTTCATCAATGTAGTCGTACACAGTTTGTGGTTTTACATTTATTCAGTTTTGTGTGCAATATATACTGTTATGTTAAAACAGTATGCACTGGAGTAACTTAATCGCAAACACTAATCGTGAAGACAGTAACATAAGTATTTGAGCTATGTTACAAAAGACAAAGCTGCAGTGGAAAGGTCATATAGTGAAGACAGAAGACTGTTGTTTTTGATAGACGTACCTGTTCAGCGAACAGATCTATTGTCGGTTAAGCAGGTGAGAGTGGATTGGCCGGAATATGTTAAAATCAAGTTTACGAACAGAGATTCATTTATCCAAACAATACTTGGAATAGTAAGGACATTTCAAAGTTATAAACAGATGCAGCCTTATTCCAGATGAAACTCAGCCTACACATGTTCCTTAGCAAGCACCTGGGTGAGAAAGATTGTGTAATGGATAACGTCTCGGATTGCGAAATCGGTGTATCAGGTTCGTATTCCAGTCGGATCAGTTGCATTCACTTGTTCACAAATACCTTTGGGAAAGGTATGAATCTGTATTTTTGTAGTTGCCTCTTGTAGTCAGTTTCGTGTGGCTTCTAAACAATTCCCGTAATCAGTTTCCTTCAACCAACAGAGCAGCGGTACGAACTTAAACCAAAAAAAAGTCAACCAACAATGACCAAATCACGTGTCTCTTGTTTTCAGTCACACTTCGTCTCTCTGTCGCCTATTTATACCCTTTTTATTGACTGTTAAAAGAGATTCTCGCGAGAGTTTATCCGACGCCGAGATGTGTCTGTTTTAAATGTATGACCTGTGAAACTGCTATTTCTTTTTTTGGATACTTTATATGCGAGACACGCCCGAATGCATTTTCGTTCTGGACGTAAGCTATTTTCTCTAGTTTTACACTCTTACTCGCAGCTATGGATTAAATAGTAGGACTTTTATCTAGATTGATTGATTTATTTTGTTTGACGGATAATCAACTATCTGCAGGTTATTTAAAGTCAGAAAAGATATTTGGAGATAATAAGGAGTTACTGATGCAAGTCCTACTAATTAATACATAGCTGGAGGAGAAGAGGGGGATTCATAACTTTCCCAAAGGCTATTTAAGCGCAAGTGAATATAAGGAACCTGGCTTGAATTGGAACTCGACCGTTCGATTTCCAATTCCGAGCCGTTATTCATTACACCAACTGCACATCCAAGCCTACAGAGCATGGTATTCCCAAGCAGTCATCCATCTACGCGCGCTGAGTAGATTCGACGTTGCTTAATTTCGGTAATCGTACGAGAACTCGTGTTTCAACGTGATGTAAACATAAGCCCACTTATATCTAGAAAAATAAGTGTTATTCTCAAAAGAAAATATGTTAATGTAGTATTTACTCAAAAATATGCTTAAAATCCAAAATATGTTTCAGTTTTAAGTAACCCAGAATGGGTTGATAAGACGTAAAAAAGCTAAATCAAATAAACTAAATTGAAAATATACGGAATAAATACTTAATCATACAGCTCCAAATTTTTTATGTTTCAATCTTTTTATTTTGCAGTTCATTCAGCTGGAGCCCAACATGAACCTTACCTCATGGCGACCTTTGACATGGAGAGCGTGCGGGGAGAGGTCATTTTTACAGAACCTGGTGAGGGCAATGGAGTGACCATGATGTTCAGGCTTAACAGTACGGACGGGTCTAAGGATAAATACACATGGGAATTCCGTCGATATCTAACTGACTACCGCGAAGAAGACAAGTGTGATGATCGTTATATTGGCAAGAAGTAAGTTACTACTGAGTAGCCTCAAAAATTAATTCTGTTTTTGTCATCTAGATGGCATTAGGAGCGATAAGTTTTAACTTTATTGAGAAAAAGATTTTTATTGTATTTTGAATGCTGTTAACACAGCGAACATTTAAAAATGTTTTGACATAATTTAACAATACTCACTTTTGACACAGTCGATTATTCACAATACCTTCTTTTATGTGTTGTATCCTTTCAAGACGTGGGTGATCATGACTTTCCACAGCTTCCTATCTCTTGTTATTCTTACCGACATGACGTAGCTTTCCTCTGTCTTTTCTACAAATATTTTCATGGCAACTGCTTTGACGAGCTTTTTCCCTGGTGCCGCGGCTACATGAAATTAATTGTACTGCTAGATTGGCATTTAGGTTCCACCCTTTTATTGTTGAAATAGAAAAATGCAACCGATACTTCTAAAGTTTCTTTTCTTGCACTTCCCACCTGTGACACTTCCTTCCGTTTACTCTGATAACTGCAATCTTCAAAAATTTAAATGCAACATCAACAGTCATCTTCTTGAATCCCATTCATCCTTTGTCCTTTCTTCAATCCTTCTTAGTCAGTCTTCTCTTTCTCTTTCACTCCCTGTAAATCTGTCCCGTTTATTAGCTTGTAATGATTGGTGAGAAATGATTTTAAACAAAGGCAACGGTGGTAAGTATTAGTCCATTTTTTATTTTGCCTTCCGAAATTTTAGTGACATGTTATTTTCATTGTGAATGAAATTATTGATTTATGCTTTTCTTTAATTCCTCTTTTCCACCTTCCTTATGTCCAATGCCTGTTATGTATCAATAATATTCTGGATAATACCTATCTAGAAGGATTATCCATATTTCTTCAAACCCATTGTGTTTTTGTCTTACGCGTTTTTATAATTACTACCTATAATATCGTTTTTTCACACTAAAAATTCGCATAAAGTATTTGTAATATTTTGCGTAATTTAATCCATGATGAAGATATTAAATAACTTGCTTCATTAACAATTACAATCTTCAAAATTTTAAATGCAACATCAATTGCCAACTTCTGTCTTCTTGAATCCCATTTTTCTTTTGTCCTTTTCTCAATCCTCCCTATCCTCAGTCTTCTCTTTTACTTTCACTTCCAGTAATCCCCTGCCTGCTAGTGGTATTCTCGCCTTACTTAGAGTTCTTTCTTTTTATGTGCCATGTCCTTTTAGGACGTAGGCAATCATGGCTCTTCACCTCCCTCTATGCCTTGCATCTCTCAGAAAGTTCCTTTCCTTTGCTTCCTCCCCAAGACCACGTTCTGTCATCCACTTGCTTAAGCTCGCCAGGTATGCCACACGTTGCTTTTCCTTGTCTCTTTTTCCTATATTCAACCCGTGAGTATCAGACTTTTCAGCCCTCAATACGTGTCTCAGAAACTAGAGCTGCCTTTTCCTGATATTAAGCCTGAGACTCCTTTTTGTCTGCATCCTCCACACGACCTCATCGTTGCTCACACGCCCAGTCCACGAAATCCTCAACATACTTCTGTAAAACCACATCTCCGTCGCCTCGAGTCTCTTCTTCCTCTCTGAGGAAACTGTCCAGCATTCGCTGCCGCAAGAAGGATAGATGTTACGTAACAGCTCAGTATTCTTTTCTTTGTTACCAAAGAAATCGTCCTGTATCGCAGTACTCTGCCCAGCTTTTGGAATGCGTCCTTGACCATCCCAATACGTCTATGGATCTCAGTGTCGTACTTACCGTCCTCTGTCAAGATGCTTCCTAGATATTTAAACTTCCGCCTGTTCCCGACCTGCAAATCGCAATTCAGGCTCTTCCTGTTACTGATGACCATTCGTTCTGTCTTCTTGTAGTTTATGTTTAGTTCCTTCTTCTCACTCTCTGTCTCTACCTTCTGTAGGAGATTTTTTCCGTGTCCGTTACCAGTACTGTGTCATCTACGAATCTTATGTTGTTAAGGTTGTGGCTGCCAATACTAAATCCCGGGAGGATTTCCAGTTCTCTCAGAATTGCCTCGCTGAAACATGCTTAATGAAAAGTAACTTTATGATTCTTTACCACCCCTATTTGTCACCGCACAAATCCATTCACCCAGTCTGATTAGGTAGGTTACTCGCTATTATTTCCTGTCGCTCTTTCCTTTGATATATCCTGGGAGTGTGAAATTTTCGAAGTTCTCCTGAGAGCATAAGCCTCTGATCACCCCTTAATTGCTGTTGTATCCAGTTTGTCCTGACACGGTAGCACCTGTTAAGTTTCCCAGCGATAGGCAAATAGTAAACTCAAAAACAAAACACTATGAAAGTATAAAAAAAGTATTTTTTTATAGTAAAAATATCAGGAATATATTTTTATTTAGTAAAATTACAAATTTATAGTAAAATTACCGATATAATTAAAGCAAAATGACCAGCAATACATTTTATAGAAAAATGATCAACAATGCATTTTATCTGTAGTTGAAAACATACACTTACGTTCAAAATATATTTAGATGAAACCATAAAATTGTGTTCAAAATATTTAGATTTCGGTATTAAATAACTTTTAGAGGTTGATATGTTGCTAAACAAAATCATCCAAACAACCAACATAAAAAAACTCTTTCATGGCATTAAGCCATACAATTTTTTTTAAAAAGATATCAAACTGTATTCCAAAATATAACTTCAACAAAATTACAACATAAAACACACATATCACCGCCTCTGGTAATTATGTCCATACAGAAGCGGCCATAATATAAGGAACGGAAACAACAAAGACATCACAATCAAGTATTAACAAGATCGTTCTTTAACTTTTGTCCAGTAGCTTATTTCCTTTGTTCCATTTAATTTTTATTTAAAAAAAAACTATTATGTAAATTTTTGTAACTTTGTATAATATTTATGCATTACACCCTAATCTTTATTCGGTAAAAATTTCATTGCTAACCATACATTACTTTTTAAGTAATACACATATTTATGTCTTTGTTGTTTCCGTTCCTTATATTATGGCCGCTACTGTATATGCACAGAAGCTGAGTATCATCTACCATGTATTCAATTGTGAAAGCAGAATAACATATATCATATTTTTATTACTTCAAACCTACCAAGAAAATTAAATTTCAGCATTAAATGACCCATACGGTGTTGATATGCCGTTGAACAAACAAATCAATCTTATTCGACTGCAAGAAAATCTTCCAGCCTTCACTGCCATAGAGAAAGATAGATAAAACAACAGTTCAGCATTCTTTTCTGTGTTTCTAATGAACATTTTTCCCTCTTAATTCTTTGCTTAGTTTCTGGAAGTCATATTTCTCTATTTTTTGTCACATTTACCTTCACCTATTAGTACAGTATGCAGATATTTAATTTATGTATCAATTCGAAGCTCACAGTTTTGTCGTCTCTCTTGCTAAAGACGATGCATTTTGTCTTTTAATATTCCATGGTTAGTTTTTTCTTCTTGCATTCGTTTTATATATTGTTTAAGAGCTTTTACAGTCTTCTTTTTTATCATCTGAGACACATTTTTGATAATGAAAATACTTCACCCTCGACCTTTTGGCTCGGATCAATACGTGGTATATGTTCTCCTTTTGGAGAGGATTGCTGGATTCGGGGCCAGCGTGACAATAGTCGCGGAGACTGGGCAGTTTTTTTTCTTGGCCCGTATGTACGCATATTGACACAATAAACTGACATCGCTTCGCATCATACCACAGCTGTCATAAGAGAGAATCAATAGTGATCTTTATGAGTGAAATCAGTTAAAAAAAATCGCTCCTACAACCATGTAATACCAAAAACCGAAATTGGTCAGACAATCAGTACATTATTTTCTGATCTTCTTGAAAGTAATAGTCAAACAGACACACACATACAAACATACACACATACGCGCACGCACACACACATACAAACATGCACACATATGCGCGCGCGCGCACACACACACACACACACACACACACACACACACCAAAAAAAAAGAAAAGTGAAATCTATATACTCTAAAATATAGGGAGTTTCTTATATTTATTGGTATTTACTAATCTTAGCAGAGTACGACACAAAACCAAACGAGGATAGGAAGAGTGTGTTGCGCCAGTGTTCTAAGTGTGGAGGACCTGGCTTCTTATATGGAACGTTATAAAGATTATTTACTAAGCTCAGTCTGGTATAAGACAATAGTGAGGACACCCAGTGAGGAACAAACTCTCTGCACGAAAAATCTTTTTAGATAAATGACTTTATAATAAAGATTTAGATCAATTTTTGCTTAGTTTGACACAAGGTCACATATTCGGAGCATTCAAAGTTTGCTAATCCTTACGGGACACTTTCACTTGGTGTTATATATATATATATATATATATACACGTACACACACACACAAACAAATACACACGCGCACGCACACACACGAACACACACATACACACACACACTCACACACACACACACACACACACACACATATATATATATATATATATATATATATATATATATATATATATGAATTTTAGTGAATAATAACGCTAAACCACAAGGAACTAGGATAGGAAGATTGAAAAATATTAATGTTAAAAATTTACCTGAGTTTCAACTGGCACGAGTAGAAGACACACGACTCTCTCAATATTTACAAATTGTAGGCATATGGTAAATGATGTGAAAATAAGCGGGAAACCTCTTGTGTGGTACGAGTTCTTCAAGTAAACAGGACCTGCTTGTCTGCCTTGAAAATCAACGCTTTTGTCAGGGACTGAACACAAACCTCTGCAGCCGATTGGAAATAGATAATTATTTCATCCTAATTATAGATATTTGCTAACTTTGTTTTAGCTTTATGCAGAAGCTCAATATCAGGGTACCTCTGTGATCAGTGTACCCGCAAAAGACGACTGCACTACACTGTGGCTTAACGGGACTAGCTTGCTCATTATAATTCTCTACCAGAATCCCGTAGTTATTTAATGCACCTGGTCCAGTTTGGCACAAGGTCACGAAAATAACCCTTCTCCATAAGTAAAAATAGAATTCACATCACCAGCAAATTGATTCAATTGATATATCAAGCTATATCTCCCGTACTACGATAGATGGATTTAAAGGTTATTTAATCATCTCAGTTTAGTCTGGTACAAGGCCACAGTAGTTGAGACTCCGGTGAAATTCGAACTCTTCTATATGAGATAGGGTTGCAGACCATTTTCCCTCGGTCAATACCAACGTATTAATCTCATTTGTTAATTTCCGATAATCTATCAGATCGTGAGGACAGAATGCCTTTTAATTTCCCTTCATGGCATCTCCCAAGTAATGTGCGCTTCTTGGCAGTGTCCATCTCCTCTTCACGTAACAGATTATACTAGGTTATATGTTACCAGCTGCAAGGAATAGTTCTTTGTCTGATCTGTTGTCGAATGGCAAAGATGGAGTGTTTTACAAGCCTCCAAATGACCTATTATTTGCCACTAAATGACGCGAGAAGTGTCTGCCTGCCTTTTCCAGATACATTAATATGAAGGGAATAAAAGTTGGAAGCACGTTGGGGTAATGAATTGTGGTTCGGAATGGGGAATCGGAGAAACGAGGACGAATTCCAGTCGAGTCCACTTACGTTGGGAAAGGTATGAATCCATCACTTCTTCTCCCTCCCAGCTATGGTTAAATAGTAGGACAGACTGGATTCTATTGCCTTGGGTCACAACGAATCTGGGAGAAGGAAACGCTGAATTTAAAATTGTATGTACCCCTGGCGAAGCACATATTATGCAGCTAAAGAAAGGAACGTTCGCATTGATTCGATGATCCCGACTACGGTCGAATGAAAGATGCTTCCGCTGGAAGCTGAACTCATTTTGCCGGTTCAGTTATTCAAATCATTAATCATTAGGTTGCCCGCACCTCCATTGATCTCTTTATTGTATTTTTACAGGTTCAGTTCGGAGACTGGGACAGTAACAATGGGAGCCTATGAGCATGTCACCGCACGGACCATCCACCTCTGGGGTCTGAACGGTATTGTTGGTAAGTACAAGACAATATGAATGTAAGAAATATTAAGTCTGTCTATTTTGAAAATGCAGTTAGCTGAGGAAATAATTTTGTATAGAAATTTTCTAGCTAAAAGGTAGTTTTTTTTTCAGAAGAAAAAGGAATGCATGTTCGATTTCTGCTGGGAAGTCTTTATTTCTTCAATAAAACTTTTTTTTCATCCTGTTTCGTGGAACATACATCTTACCAATGGAATACGAAGAGAATGATAGGGGTTAGCTACAATGTGCGTGGACTGAAGATTAGAACTGGTGGAAGTAAGGAATAGAGTCCATCTGAACACTTTCCATTGAAGTAGAGATAGAGAACAGCGGTAGCCTTGATATGTTTCGTCTGTGGGGAAGGGGCTCTAGGGTGGAAAATAATTCATCACCCACAAGGACGCAAAGACGCTTTTGGACTCTATCGAGACTGGAAAATGGAGACAGAGCTGCAGATATATGTCAGCAGTTACCCAATTGTCGGCCCTTGTCAAGGTAGAGGATATCAGGACGGGTCAGATACTGACTCGAGTGGTCTAAAGAACTGACTATTTTCCAGTAGCTTTAGCGATGGATTGTATGTACGAGTTCCACGTGAAGTCTGTGTTGAGCTTAAGTCCCAATATTTTCGATGATCTAGGCCGGCAGACGTTTCACTGTTTGTAAATAAATAAGGATGTGCATTCAAACACATGTATCATGTTAAAATAACGTGTGTAGCAATAAGAAATAAAAAACGCTTGAGGAATCTTTCGTAAATTTATTGATCTAGGGGTGGGAATTACAACATTTAAAAATCTAAGAATTATTGTTTGGAAATGTTCTGTCTAATTTTCTGGGATGAGGAGTTATCATTATCTAAGTCATGCTTCTTCCATTGTAAACAGGAAGGAAGATCTTACGGAGTTCACAATAAGACCTTCGGAGAAATAAATATTAGCTGGCCTTCCTGGATGTGCTAAGAAATTAGCATAACCAATTTAACTCAGTGGAAACAGGGCGATCAATAAACGGACCGGTACTAAAAAGAAAGAACAAGAAAAGGTATCTCTAGATACAGACATCGGAACGAGATCGAATTACCTCCATAGATTAAATAAAAGGGTCAGTTTGAAATTTCTTTAAAACAGTGTTCCTCGACCTTCTTAAGCAATGGCGCACCGAGGAGCAAATGAAAATATCACAGCAGACTATGACAAAATTTTAAATTTTTTTCAAAGGTATACATTTAAATGTTATGAAATAAAACCACAGATTTTAAAAATGGAAACAAATTACTTATTTCAATGTTTCTATTCAAATATTGGTGCTGTTAATTAGTTTGAAATCTGTACCTGTTTTTGTTTTTTTTTACGATTTCTTCAATAGTTCGCGGCACGAGATATACTCTGAATTACCAAGATTTTTCCACCTCAGTTTGCTTATGTCCCTTGGACCTGATTTTAAATCTATATATATATATATAAAGTTGTAGCCTCTGTCTGTCTGTCTGTTTGTTATCGAACACCTCCTAGGGTTTTGAAGATAGACCTTAAACTGCATTATATAGGGTATAAGTATATTGAATTTTGATCAAAGGGGGTCCCCGGGACGCATAACATCTACACTGAATTTTTTTCCTTTGATTTAAATTGCTTTGAAATAATAGATATATTTGCATGTTGCTTCACTTGGGCTAAGTTCGACACCCCAAAGTCGCCACTGGTATATATATATATATATATATATATATATATATATATATATATATATATATATATATATATATATATATATATATATATATATCAAGAAAAATCTATTGTATTTCTTCGTTTTAAGTCTTAACTTCTAAAGTTAATTGTTTTATCTCAGTGCTTCAAAATATTGACCGAAATACATTTCATTGATACTGTTCATAATAAAGAAGAAAAAAAGAAGAAAGAACAAAGAAAGAATATAAGTAAAAAAAAGGATGAAATAAAATTAACGTGGCTAGGTCGGCCGGCGTAGATGTAAACATTTTCAAACTAGAGACATTCTTATAGGCAATGTACTTCTTATTTATAAATATTATTTTTTAAAATCTCTAATTCCCAGTTTTTCAAAGAATACATTCTATTTTCAACGTACTCTTTTCAAATGTCCATTTTAAATAATTTATTCTGTACAATATAAGATTTTTTAGAGGAATCTATCAATTGAAAGTCGGCTAAATCAAAAAAAGTGGCAGCCTTAACTCGTCGACGGAAGAGTTGGGGTGAAGAGAGTGACTGGTGTAGTATTGAGAAAACATGATATCAATCAGCAGTAGTGGTCATAAACGAACAATGAAATTCCCAGACATTGATCTACATAAACACACTGACGCATAGTCATATATACAAGCACACACTTGAGATAGATACACAAGTTATTTTTTCTTACATGTCTAGAAAATTTTAAAATAAATGTTTAATTTTATTAAATTATTACAATTAATATTATAATCCTAAAATGGGTTTTTTTAATTT